TGTTAAGTGATGACAATCAATAATTCGGTGAGGAAGGACAAGTTGAACCTGAGCGAGGTTATTAGCATGATTCTATCCGAGGAGGTTTAAAGGAAATCGTCCGAATCAGAAGGTTCAGATTCAGCCCTAAATTTCGAGTAAAGAGGTAGAAGCTAGAAGAAGGGGAATCAGAACAGGAATCGGTCGAAGTCAAACAAGAAGAGGTCAAACTCAAAAGTTAGGCCTATCAAAGGAGATGGAGGACTATCTGTACCAGAAGGACTTGTATCGCCCGTTGATGGGCAAGGCTAAGGGAAAAAAAGAAAGAAGAGTTAGATGAGGATTAGGAGATACTGGATAGGAAGGTTCTAGGGAAAATTCGGTTGTCACTCGCCAAGATAGTCGCACACAACATATTGAAAGAGAAGACGATGGTGGGGCTTATAGAAGCGCTCGCGAAGATGTACGAGCAACCGTCTGCCGCAAACAAGGTGCATCTCGTCAATATACTCTTCAATATCAAGATGACAGAAGGACACTCCATCACAATGCACCTCAACAAGTTCAACACGATTATTGATCAACTCATCTCCATAGACATCACGTTCGATGACGAAGTGCAGACCCTATTGATTCTATTACAGTTGCCGAATAGTTAGGCATGTTAAGTGATGACAATCAATAATTCGGTGAGGAAGGACAAGTTGAACCTGAGCGAGGTTATTAGCATGATTCTATCCGAGGAGGTTTAAAGGAAATCGTCCGAATCAGAAGGTTCAGATTCAGCCCTAAATTTCGAGTAAAGAGGTAGAAGCTAGAAGAAGGGGAATCAGAACAGGAATCGGTCGAAGTCAAACAAGAAGAGGTCAAACTCAAAAGTTAGGCCTATCAAAGGAAAGTATTGGAACTACAGCCAGGAGAGCCATATGTCTTCAGCGTGTAAAGCACAAAAGAAAGACGTGAATGAGCAGGGGGCTCATCTTGTGCAGAATGCATTGATCCTCGCTATGGTTAGCGATTCTGATTCTTGGGTCATCGACTCAGGAGTCTCGTTCCACACCACTACTAATAGGAAGCTTCTTCATAACTATGTAGCAGGGGACATTGAGAAAGTATAGTTGGGGGATAATGAACCCTGTAGTGTTGTTAGAAGAGAATCTGAAGAACATGAGACACGTACCGAAGCTGAAGATGAATCTTATTTTGGTTGTCCAGCTTGGAGTAGAAGGCTATGTTTTGACATTCACCGGGGATTCGTAGAGGATCTCAAACGGTACTATGGTTGTTGTCTGAGGCAACAAAACAGAAACTCTCTACCTCACCTCACATGCGAGTGACACCCTCATAATTGTAGCTGGCAAAAAGAGTACAGATCTATGGCACAATAGATTGGGACACATGAGTGAGAAGGGGATGAAGATTCTACATTCATAGGGGAAGTTAACTAGCATCGATTCCGTGAAAGTCGGTGTTTACGAGGACTGCATCTTTAAGAAGCAGAAGAGAGTTAGTTTCAAGAAGGGTGGAAGACCACCTAAAGCTAAGAAGCTAGAGTTAGTTCATACTGATGTATGGGGTCTAGCTAGCGTGTCTTCTCTTGGCGATTCGACGTACTATGTCACCTTCATCGACGATTACTCGAGAAAGGTGTGTGTATAGTTCATGAAGTACAAGTCAGAGGTGTTCGGGATCTTCAAGAAGTGGAAGGTCATGATGGAGAATAAGATAGATCTAAAGGTGAAGTGTCTGAGATCAGACAACGGTGGAGGAGTTCAAGAGGTTATGTGCTCTAAATGAGATTCATTTGGAGAGGACTACTCCAGGGATGTCGCAGCAAAACGACGTTGCAGAGAGGATGAACAGGACATTGACGGAGCATGTCAAGAGCATGCGATTGCATGCAGGTCTGCATAAGATATTTTAGACGGATGCGGTGCATACGATAACTTATTTGATTAATCATGGACCATCAGTTCTATTGGATTACGGGATTCCAAAGGAGGTTTGGAATGGCAAGAAGATCAATCTCTTACATTTGTGAGTATTCGGTTGTGTGGAATATGTTCATATCAGTGACCATGTTAGGGACAAGCTAGATGCTAAGTCACAGAAGTACACATTCATTGGATGCAGCATTGATGAGTTCGGGTATCATCTTTGGGATGAGAAGAACATGAAAATCATCAGAAGCAGGGATGTGATATTCAATGAGGAGGTGATGTACAAGAACAGGGACAATACCAATGATAGCCAAAGTAGTGGGAGCAGCACTACGGATACAGGTGGATCCGAGTACATGGATTTGGAGGAACTTCTAGATGGGGGCGACAAAGTCAATTCTGACCGAAGAACAGAGGAGGCTCCAGGTGCAGAGATAACTACCCAGGGCGTGGAGCTTAGGAGGTCATCTAGGGTACCCAAACCGAATCCCAGATATCTCTCATCACCTGATTATTTACTTTTGACAAATAGTAGAGAACCAGAGTGCTATGAGGAGGCTATACAAGTGAGTGAATCTTAGCAGTGAAAGCATACGATGCAAGAGGAGATGAATTCTCTATACACTAATGAGACATGGGAGTTAGTCCAGCTATCTGCATAGAAAAAAGACTTGCATAACAAATGTGTCTATCAGGTCAAGCAGGAGAGTAATAGAAGTAAGAGATACAATCCTAGATTAGTCGTGAAGGGGTTCCAACAGCGGGAAGGTGTGGATTCTACGGAGATATTTTCCCCCGTTGTGAAGCTCACCACCATCAGATTGGTGTTGACCTTAGCAGCTGCAGAAGATCTCTACCTTGAGCAGTTAGATGTGGAGACTGCATTTCTTCATGATGACTTAGATGAAGAAATCTACATGAAGCAACATGTTGACTTCATTGAAGAAGGAAATAAAGAGATGGTATGTAAGCTCAAGAAGAGCTTGTACGAATTGAAATAGACCCCGAGACAGTGGTACAAGAAGTTTGACAACTTTATGCAGAACAATGGCTACAAAATATGCAATTCAGATCATTATTACTACTTCAAGAGGTTCGAGTCCACTTTTATCATATTGGTAGTGTATATTGATGATATGTTAGTTGAAGGACCAAGTTTAGAGGAGATAAACAACTTAAAGAAGCAGTTGGCAAAAGAGTTTGCTATGAAGAATCTGGGTACAACGAAGCAGATTCTAGGGATAAGAATTAGTAGAGATAAAGCTGAAGGGACGTTGAGGTAGAGTCAAGCTGAATACATCTAGAAGGTACATCAGAGGTTCAATATGCAGAATGCTAAGGTTGTTAGCACACCCCTTGGAAGCCAATTAAAGCTATCTGAAGAGAAATCGCCTAAGATAGATACAGATAGAGAGCATATGAGCATGGTGCCATATTCTTCGGGCATTGAGAGTCTCATGTACGCGATGATTTCCACGAGGCCGGATATTGGCCATGCAGTAGGAGTTGTGAACAAGTTTGCAAGCAATCTAGGAAAGCAACATTGGGAGGCCATGGAGTGGATATTGCACTACTTAAGAGGGACTACGAACAAGTCACTATGTTTTAGGAGAAATGAGTTAGTACTGCAAGAATACGTGGATGCGGACTTCGCCGGTGATCATGATACGAGGCGGAGCACCACGGGATATGTTTATACCTTGGCGTCGACAGCAGTGAGTTGGGTTTCACGTCTGCAGAAGATTGTAACTTTGTCTACAACTAAAGATGAGTATGTTGCGGTAACTGAAGCAAGCAAGGAGATGATTTGGTTGAACGGGTGCCTGGAGGAGTTGGATCTGAAACAAGAGAGAGAAGTTCTTTATTGTGACAGCTAGAGCGCTATACTTCTTACCAAGAATCCAGTATATCATGCCAGAACGAAGCACATCGACGTACGATGCCATTTTATACGCTCGCTGATTGAGGACATGAAGTTACATCTAGAAAAGATTTTGGGGAGTCAAAATTCTGCGGATATGTTGGCGAAAGTAGTGACCATTGACAAACTGGAGTTGTGCATAACTTCAGTTGGCCTTCACGTGTAGGAGATGAAGGCGGAGCCACACCAGGAGGATCGGCGGGATTGCCGGGTTGATGATGATTGAAGAATGGATTTTTTTTGTGTAGGAGGATGTTTGCGAAGAAGGGAGAGTTCATGTGAGCTCGTTGATTGTGCTTTGGTCTCCAAGTGGGAGATTATTAGTCTAAGGGATGTAGACTCAAAGCTGGAATCAAACAAATTGTTAGATAGCAGGTTTCCTAATCTGTTTTGGTAACATGATTCTTAATCTGTTTTGGTAAAACGATTCTTAATCTGTTTTGGTAACATGTTATTAGGATTCCTAATCTGTTTTATTTTTTGGTTTTAGAGTTCCTAGTCTGTTTTGGTTTTAGGTTTTTTTATATATATGTAACGTCTTAGAAGAGATTAGACATCAGAAAAAGATGATTTTGAGAGAATTCTTCAGAGAGATCTCAAAGAGATTAGATCCTATTTGTGGGCATTGTAATCTTCTTTAATATTAATCAAAGAATTGTGTGGTGTGGCTCCCGAGGACGAAGGCACGATTGCCGAACATCGTTAAATCTGGTGTGTTCTTTCTTGTTTACTTTCCTGAGGGATATAGACTCAAAGCTAAAATCAAACAAATTGTTGGATAGCAGGTTTTCTAATTTGTTTTGGAAACAAGATTCTTAATCTGTTTTGGTAACATGTTATTAGGATTCCTAATATGTTTTATTTTTTTGTTTTAAAATTCCTAGTCTGTTTTGGTTTTAGGTTTTCTATATATATGGAACGCCTTAGAAGAGATTAGACATCAGAAAAAGAGGGTTTTGAGAGAATTCTTCAGAGAGATCTCAAAGAGATTAGATCCTATTTGTGGGCATTGTAATCTTCTTTAATATTAATCAAAGAATTGTGTGGTGTGGCTCCCGAGGACGAAGGCACGATTGCCGAACATCGTTAAATCTGGTGTGTTCTTTCTTGTTTACTTTATTGCAAGTTTTTATCTTTTATTTGCTGTGATTTTCCTACTTTCCTACTCTCAAACACAAGGTTCGGAAGGACAAGGGTCGATTTGATTGTTTCGAATCCCCAACAGGCCTTCCGAGCAATACAAATTATGATTGTTTGAGCACAAAACAAGCCGTTTGCATTTGTTCACACATTAACACACAAAAAAAAGGCACATTACAAACCTCACGTACACGCTCTTGAGAACAATAATACAGACCGTTGCAGCATCAGAAAAGAGAACAAACAATTCCTCCTAGCTCAGAGATGACTATATGCGCTCTTATGGAGGGAGATGATGGAGTGAGCGTTGAGGATAAAGAGGAGGCCGGCCCCAGCGAAGGCGAGCACGAGGGCAAGGCCACCACGGTGGCAATAGTCGTGGAATTTATCGCATATCGGGCTCCATCTGGCGTGCAGGTCGCCGTTCTTCCCCAGCTCTGCAATGGACGTCGCCGCAGCTGCACCCGTCGCTACTAACGCCATCATAACCTGTACAACAATCGTGCGTACATAAGGTTCTACAAGTTGAAGTTTATCTCAGACGTGAACAAAATTTTACCCTGGACAAATTTCGAATAATTAGGCTGTATGTGGTCTTTATTATTTGATAATAAATTCGATAAGAAAGAAATGCATATCGTAATAAATTATACCATGTCTGCGAGGTGAATTGTAACCTCATATCTCTTGCATTTACAGAGGAGGAACCCCAAGGAGAGCACCAGTAGATTATAGACGCTAGCAATTGCGTTGGCTATCACAAAGTACCTGCAACATTTTTGGAAAAACTATGAGAAAGTTGAGGTCTCCACGACATGGAATCTATCTAACCACTTGCATAACAAGGGGGGAGTAAAAAATCACTTGTCTAATCTTAAAAAGAGTTTTTGTTTAATATGCATTGCATATTACTCATAAGCAGGTTAAAAATGACAAATATTAGTCTGATACCCCACTGCATAAACGAACCGCAAGAGGTTGGCTTCGCATCATTGATGCGTGGTATTATCAGTTAGTCATCAATCAACTTAAAACTAATGGTAACCTTACTGAATCAAGGGTTTCCCACAGGGAACTTACATAAAGGCAGGGGTCTGGTTGAACTTGGCAACGAGAGTTTGATAGAGAGGGGTGGTGCCCACAATGGCGACGGCGGTGGTCTTGGTCTGCTTGTTGAGACCCATCACAAGCGCTGCTGCGACCGTAGCCAACATGGCTCCTATTCTCACGAAAGTTGGCGCTAACCTCGCCACCATCGCTCTCATGCTACTACGATTAGCCTTTGGCAGCATCATGAACCTCCAAACCCCGTCACTTTTCTTGCCGTTGACGCTAGCGTCATCAATGGTAGCCATGGATTGACGAGATAAGGAGATGGTTGTGTTGTGAGGGGGAAGAGAGGAGGACGGAGAGGCTATATATATGGTAGGAAAAAGAATGGCGTGGAGTGTCTCCACATTTTTCTTGCAGGGTTTGGGTTGCATATCGTCTAGCCAAACCCAATCTTAAATGTTATTATTATTCATTTTCACAAGAAAAGAATAGTTTACTGACTAAATTGGGAAGAAAATAGGGGATTCTTGGCACTTGTTGAGGTCGACCATCTGTCTATAAAAATTTTCAGGGGTTAGATGCAACTACCAAGGGCCAAGAGTTCTTGGTGTAGCCCATAAATTGGAAGAACCGGTACAATTTTGGTTAGAAAGGAAAAACTTAAGATCTTTAACAACATATTCAGAAGTTTCTCCCTAGCTGGTTGGAATTTATTTATTTATTTTTGGCTAGTTTTTTTTAATAACAATCAAGTGTCAAAAACATTTCAATAGCTATCCTGAGGCATGGAGTTTCAATAGCTATCCAGTGGCCTCTCTTTTCAATTTTCCTTTCAAGTTCAATAACACCCATCAATAATATAACAAATCCAAAAAAGTTTAAACATGGTAGCAGTCCCTTATTCCTTTTGTCTTCGAATTTTACGGTATAACTGGGTCACATTTTTGTTAGCTTGGTGCATAAAAATTGCAACAATTTACACTTTTCACGAATTATTATCATGAATTAGTTTATTCAATAAGAAAAGCTCCATCATTATCACATCTCCGAAGATAATATCCTAGTGTTTTCAAGGTACATATAATTACACTGCTCGAACATTTATATGGATTAATGCTTTTATATCAACAACACAAACAAATTCTCTAATAAGCAAATTGTACAGGCTATAACTATAACTAAATATGCTCTCACTATTTGGACTTTAAGGATGCCAATCTCTTTCCCAAATCATCAACATCAGAAGGTGCAGGGGCTACAGTTCTGCACAAAAAAAACATAGATACAGATTGAAGTATATATCGCACTCTTAATAAATTAACGTCCAGTTTAAAAACAATATGCAAATGGAAAATTTACCTTGAGGCATTATCAACTTTCCTACTCACCACAATTCGACCTTTAGGAGCTGAAGATAGCTGCAAGAAATCAACAGGAAAAATGAAAATGTAAATCACCATAAAAATTAGTGACTGATACTAACCAAAAATGTATACAACTTCTACTGAAAACAGTATAATATACCTGTGAAGCTATGCCAACTCCAATTTCATCAAGCACCTGGAAAAGGATCATTAATGACATTAAAGCATAAGCTTAAAAAGACATTTTTAAATCCAGCTTCCTGACTGAAAGGATTTAGAATATTGTTATATTACCTGGTTAGTTAGCTCCTCGGTTTCTTCTTCTGCTTCATCTTTATCCAAAGTTTCATCAATTGCCTCAGACATCATCTCGAGCTGTGTAACATATCATAGAGATCAGTTATTTTTTTTAATGAAAATCAATTTTTTCAATTAAAAGGTTCATTCATATGGAAATGCATCAATGCAAGCATACAAATAAAAAATTGATCTCTAGATTGAATAAACATTATTGAAGATTTTACAAGGCATGAATAGGGAGATCGTGTACAATTTCTAAAGAAATCTCAAATAAAGTTTAAGGAACTAACTTTGCAGTTGTTACGAACTTACAATAGATAGTGATGCCACCATAGAAGTAGATACTAGTTTTAGATTGTGCTGCTGCTTATTTTTTTAATGAAAAGCAATTTTGTCAATTAAAAGGTTCATTCATATGGATATGCATCAACACAATCATACAAATGCAAAATTGATCTCTAGATTGAATAAACATTAATTGAAGATTCTACAAGGTATGAAGAGAGTGATCCTGTACAATTTCTAAAGAAATCTCAAATAAAGTTTAAGGAACTAATTTCACAGTCGTTAAAAACTTACAATAGATAGTGATGCAACCATAGAAGTATATAGATACTAGTTTTAGATTTTTCTGCAGTACCAATGAAGATGACTGTTTCTTTATCGATAATTCTAAATGTTAACCATATCTCTACAATTACCTGACATAACTAAATTCAGCTACTCGCAACATCTTAGGGATGAAGTATTACAAGGTAAAATTTCCTTTGATGGGTAAAGTTCACCAGTTTATCCAAGAGATTTCAGATCAACATTTCTATCTAGGCATGAGGCAGACAACTTTAGTTGCAGAAACTACAACGTACGCTTAATGAACCTTTCAGTTTAGCCTATAATATTTGTAGCTTTCAGTTTTCATTGCCTGCTTATGATTGACCATGCAGAACATGGTCATTCCTTAGCAGCATCATTATCTGTACTTTTCAAATTACCATCATTGTTATTTTATCCTTCAGATTATAATCAATCCTCAATTTCGCTCCCCATGATACAATTTCAAACAATTTACGGGTAAAAGATTTTTTACGCTCCTTTAATACGAGAAAGTAGGGAAGGGACTGCGGGAAAGAGCAGCTGCCACACAAGTGGAGAAGGGAGTAAGGGGGGAGGGGGGACAGACAGAGGGACGTTGTGAGGGGGTTTAGAACAAGGTTGGGGTCCTCGAGTGAGAGGGGTAATGAAAGGCATAGCGAGGAGAGACCTGGGGATGGGAAGAAAATAAGGAGTTGGTTTGGTCAGGAGCCAGGGTGGGGGAACGGGTGCAAAGGGCCGAAAGATGGGAGGGGAGGGTGCTGCTGGCATGCGCTCACATGCCAGGTTTGGCCACAGGAGAGGTGGGGGTCCTCGGAGTGAGGGGGTGCTGCCGATGTCATGTCCTTGCTGCAGGGTTTGCAGCAGAAGATGGGGGTCCTCAGAGTGAGGGGAGGGGGGACAAAGGGCATTTGGATGATGAGAGACCAAGGGATGGAGGAAGGATAGTGGAGAGTATGTTTGGTCGGAGGCGCAGGAGGAGAGATAGGACAGGGAAAGGATTAACATAGCATGAAAGTAAGAAACCTCGGAATCTACTAAAAGGCGTTTCTTGAATCCACAAAAGAACAATCTTCGAATTCAAGAAGAGACAACCTTGAAAGTACGAAGTAATATAAAAGAGAATTTTATTGAAGAAAAACTATGCCTCTAGGGCGTACAATCTTTTGCTTAAGTAGAAAACAAACAAGACTCCTATTAGAAGAAGAACTTTACTAATACTAAAAATAACAAAACTATCCTTAAAAAGACTCTCTATGATTGAGGAAACAAATCAACTAAATTTGGAATCAAACCGAATTTGTTTCCTAATAAAAAAAACATACTCCTAATACATTACCCAAAATAGTAAAAAACTAATAAAAAGTCCAATATTTCTCAATTTAGATGAAATTTTACGAAACATACAGCATCAACCGAACAAATGGTGGGTTTATTTGGCTCCGTCTCAAAAAAATACGTGATTTTCACACATTATTCATCTAATTCCAACGCAAGGTGTGGGA